TGACATGCGGGCCCTGGAAGGCCCCCAAGACAACAATAAAACGAGGACTTTTGCCCTCTTTCTCTCTCTCTCTCTCCCCGCCTCGTGTCATCGCCCCATCGTCTGAATTCTTTTCCCGTTTCACTCCTCCCTCCGAGCGAATCCGAGAACTCGGGGGCCCCCGCGGCTCGCCGAAGGGAGCCAGATGTTGGGGCGAGGGAAGAGGGAGATGGGGGGAATTTTACCGACCGACCGACACACTTTGTCCAATGACGTGTCAAGAAAAACGGAGAGCAGAGAAGCTTTTTCTCTAGAGTTCCCCTTTGACTCTCTGGTAACGACTGGTGGGAGCGGCTTTTGTGTTTTTAGCTACTTTTCTCTCGTCTTCCAACGTCATCTGGAATGGGTCTTCGCTTTTACTGTCCATATTGCTTATACCGTAGACAGGGTTTTTCTGAATTATTTCTTATTGTATATTTTTTACTCTCTTTTTTTTCTTTCCTTTTTGGGGGACTTGGATCCGCTGATATATACCTTGTCTACCGTCAATATTTCGTTGCGTACCAACATTCTAAAAAAAAAAAAAGGAGTATTTCGGTCTCTTGTCTTTCATACGATGCTGCACCCGCATATCTCCTTTTTTTCCATGTCTTTGCAATACCCTCTATCTGTTCCTAGGTAGATGCTTCTCTCTCCATCTACATCTACGCTGTTTGTAAACCGACGGCAGGGAGAAACATGACATGTCCCATGCTATTTTCATTTGTATATACTAACATTACAACCCCCGAGAGATCTACGTAAATCCTTCCGGGCAAGCTTTATTCTAATGTATATATAGCTTCACTTGTACCTAATTCTATCCGAACAAATCCGTTATTGATCATGGTCCCTTCCAGTTGCTATTTTGGTAGCTCCCCGCGATGGTAGGACTCGAGATGTCCATGTCCCTGCGCTCGGACTTTGACCACGGCGTCCGTGGTCCTCGTACAACCAAGATTGACCTAGCAGACCCCAATAGACAAGCACTCGCCGGGCTAGAAAATGTCAGCTTACTGCTGGCAGCCGTGGTGCCCCCATGTAAAGTCGAGCCCGCCCCCCGCCCCAACGAGCCGGCCCAACACATACTCGCTAGCGGGACATAACGAATGTGTTCTCGATTGTGTGTGTATCTTACTTCTATCAGCTGTTGGCCAAGATGCTGTGCTTTGCACAAAAGAAAACAATGACCCCATAATCCAAAAGTGCCAGTCAATCTTGGGCATTACCAAGTGTGCCGCCCTCCCAAACGCCTGCCAATGTCTGCTTCGCCGCCGTGAGCATTGTCTACATGCAAATGCCAATTTCGTTCTTTCCTATCTTCTTCCCGGCTTTACCTCTCCCCCTTTCCCTTCATAAAGTGAACAAAAGAATGGGACAGTCGGTTTTTGTATTGCAAACGCTGCTTTAGACCATAACAGTAACAAAAAAAAACACAACAGAGAACGAATCAAAGACATGAAAGACAAGAAAAAGTAACCCAAGAAAAGTGGTCATGCAGAGGAGGCATTACCGACACCACCACTGGCTTCAGGGTCGCCTGGGCTGGGACCCCGTCCGCGATCCGGCCGGTCGTCCTCGTCTGGGTGGTCACGGTACGGAGGCCACTGGGGCGAGGTAGAAGGCCGGTGTTGTTGCTCATCCTCTTCCTCCTCCTCGGGCCCCTTGCCCTTGACGGGCTTGTTCCACCATCTATTCCTCCAGAGGCCGTTGATGGCGTCCTGAAGGCCGCCCGAGCTCTTGCGCCGCGACGTCTTCCTGGCTTGGAACCCGGGGAACCCCGTGGATCTCCTCCTCTTACGGAACCTGCGGGGCAGGCCAGACTCTGCATCCGCGTCTGCTCCTGCGTCATCTGGCCCTCCCAAATCCCCTCCCACGATCCCCAACGGGCTCCCGCCACTAAACCCACGGCGCGGTGGGGGGATATGAAGTGAAGATGCACCGGGCTCACTAGTCGGCAACGTCTGACTGCGGCTCCGTGCGACGTTGAGGGCGGGGGATGCGGGCCGGTCGCGGTCCTCAAGCTCACCCCATATCTCGACGCGCTCCGCCCAGCTGGTTCGCTTGGCTGAGGGCGTGAGCGGCGCCCGTTTGCGCGGCGGCGTCAGAGTCGATGATGCGGACCTAGTCTCAACCCCTTCCGTGGGTGTCGAGACCGAGGGTCGGCGGTCGTTGCTGAAGGTCTGGTAGCTGTAATGGGTCGTCGTGGCGGGCAGGACGTCATCCTCGTAGCCACCAATATCGGAGCCGAGCAGCAGGTCCTCCTCCTCCTCCTCGCCGTCCGTATCCTCGACAAGGCCCAGCCCGGGGGCAAGCGACGACTGGCCGACAGCGGGCGGGTGCTGCTCGTCGCTGAGGCGCCACGAGAGTGCCAGGACGCCCGAGAGGAGGATGACGGTTCCCAGCGATATGAGAAGGGCGGACTTGGTGCTCAGCTTGTTGACCTGGTCGAAGTAGATGAGGCCGTCGAGGATGGCGATGATGTTGTAGATGCAGAAAACGAGCGGGTAGAGGACCGAGGTGGAGACCAGCTTCAGGCCCCTGTGTAGGTAGTAGAGCTGGGTCAAGGCCAGGGCCACCAGGGCCAGAAGCAGGACCCATGACTGCCAGTGGGCGAACTGGTTGGCTCCACCCGACAGCGTCTTGATGACGAGCTCGACGGCGGATTTGGCAACGAGCAACGAGTGGGCAGAGAGGATGCCACTTATGCAGCCGTATGCGAGCCCTCGGGCAAGGCGGAACCGAGCGTCCTGGGCCAGGTTTTGGATGCGACTGAGGGTGTCGGTGGCGACAGCGACCGATATTACCAGCACAGCCTGCAGGCACATCCAGACGACGAAGGGGGTGCGGCCCAACAGCGCCAGCAACTCGTCGAGGGTGTGAGCGGGCGAGGGGATTGCGCCAAAGATGGCGATGAGGAGGGCGCCGGCGCACACGAGCAGGGTGCCGCAGATGGACCAGCGCGTGAAGGGCTCGCCGAGAATGAGGGTGGCGCAAATAGAGTTGAAGACGAGGCCCGACGCCTGCAGAGTCGAAAGGACAGGGAGCGGGAGGGTCGAGATCTGCACAGTGCTGCCGAGAATGTTGGAGGCGATGAATATGCCCATTCCCAACTGCCACCTCCTCCTGCGGTGCGGCGGCCTTCTGATGTCATGGGGGCTTTTTTCGTCTTCGAGGATGTGCGATTTGCGTTGGAGCGTGATTCCGAGGCTCTGCACTGCTGTGGACAACAGGCCGACAAGGATTCCTATCTGCGCGAGGGGAGGGGTAGGCGGGTTAGCAAGAGCGCCAGCAGACCGGGGACAAGTAGGCCGGGGACAAGCAGGCCGGGGTCAGGTCGCGTGCTCCTGCAGACAGTCAGAGGTTGGGGCGCGGCGGCGGCATACAGAAATACTCCCTCCAGGGGAGAGATCGCCGATTGAACCCATTGCGATGGGGGCGGCGGGCGCGGTATCATCGGTCGACCGTGGGGAAACTTGGAGAAGAGGTGCGAGGCAAGCCGCCTTGCATAGCACCACTGCCTGCGCCTTGGTCCTCCTCTCCCTCAGTCTCTGAAAGCAGCGTTTTGGAGGGTCGTTTTCGTTCGAACAGGGCTGGTGGCCATTCGGTGAGGCGGCGGCTTTGGGCAGGTTGGGTGCGGGACGATGGTCTACGGGTAGGTTGGGCCGGGAGATGCGACACAGGTATTCGAGCAGGCCGAGGCGGCAAAGAAGGCGTAAGAAATGAGGTGGTACGAGGTAGTCGAGGACGGTGAGAGTCGGTCAGTCGGGTCGGCAGTGGATGCGCACCCCTCGCATGTCAACTCAACCACACGAGGGAAACAACGGCGGACGGGGTTGGGTGTGGTCTGGCCCGTGTGGCCCGTGGGTCGAGCTCTCAACAAGCTGGCGTGCACTGAGCAGCAGTAGCGCTCGAGGCTTGGTGATGGCGGCAGCTGGGCTGGTGGGTTTTTGGAGCCTGGTGACGCGCTGACTTGAGGCCCTGGCCTGGGGTCGGGGTCAGCAGCGATCCAAGTTGTGGAGAAGCGGTACGGCGTTTGATTGAATCTGGGCAGAAAGAGGTCGCGAATGTTGCAGCGCGTGGACGTGGGCGTGTGTTGAGCGGCCAGTGCCTGTGCCTGTGCCAGTGCCCAGCGATGGCCCAGCGAAACAGCCGGTCGCGAGAGATCGCAATTGCGGTCAGGGGTAGGGAGGGGCCCTGCATCCGGCCTGACGCAGCTGAAATCAGGCGTGTCGTGGCGGTGTCTGACTGCCTAGGCTGCCCATGCTGCCCCAGGCGGAAAGCCCAGCCCGCCTCGGCAGCTGTGCTCTCAACCGGCAAACTCACTCTGCAGCGTGACACTGGCAGCGGAGCACCCGCGAGTGGGTGACGCTAGCCCACGTGACTCCTGCCGCATCCGGGGTTCACGCGCCACGACCACTTGAGCCAGCCATTGACTCTGGAGTGAGACGCTTGCTTGGCAAGGCCGGCCCTGCGTTTCCTTTTTTTTATTCTCCTTTTTCACCGCCGCTTCCCCAGCCGTCTCGGATCATCCCGGCCAGGCACTCGCTGGGCTGCAGGAGACGCTTGCCTCTGTCCCTAGCCGGGCGCTTCCTGCCGGGCTACTGCTTTAGGATATTGTCTATTCGTGGGCTATTTTTCTAGCACTCAGTCCCCAGGCTTGGGAAAGGACTTGGGAAGGAACACTGGCCAGACCCAGCTCTGTGCACCCACCATCGCCTAAACAACTCTAAAGTGACCTCTTTTACTTTGTTTCTGGAACTCGGGTACGCAAAGAGTGCGGGTGGAATAGCATTTATTGATAGTATTATAGGTAAATCCCAAAGTAATCAATACCAAACGTTGTAGAAATTGGGGTTCAATCGGTTCGAGGTAATTCGTATACCGCCATGGTAGAAGATCCTTCCCGTATCGCAGAACCTACTATACACACTACACACACTCTAGTCACTAGTTCAAATCTGCTCTTTTTTTTTTTTTTTTAGCATATACTACTGTGCTAGTTTTGACTTCTTTGTATCTAAGTTTGCTGCTTCGGGCCGAGCACAAAGTTCTAGAGTGCTAGTGTAGTATTAGCGAGTGTCCGGAATCAAAGTATACCGGATGGCGTGGTGCCTGTAATCTAGAGTTCGCTCTACTTATCCTTGTTGCCCTCGTTACTCCTCCGGCCCTTGTTGCTCTTGTTGCCCTCGCTGTCATCCCCGCTTTCCTCCTTAGAATGATCCTCATACATCCACATCCTGTATCCAAACGAAGCGGCCGTCGGGCTTGAGCAGCGCTGTCCTGCAGAATATCGGAGGCCGGAGGTTGGTGTTGCGGGCCGCCCGAGTGGCGGCAGCCCGTGATGCATAGGTCTTTTCTGGGGACGTCGGCGGGCTTTCTAGGCCCCCGACAAGTTCAAGAAACCCATTCAGAGAGTCACCAGTCATCGGCGCTGCCACCCGGTGCGCCCTGAATGTTTCCAGTGCCCCCCGAAGGCGCGGCCCCGGAAAGGGCAGAACCGAGCGGTCGTTGGGCTCGATTTGACCGTTGAGCTCGCTTGTGAGGAGATCGATTAGGTAGTTGAGCCTGCTTGTGGTGGACTCCATTTGGTCGGTGAGCTCGCTTTTGATGAGATCAACATCTTCGTGGATGCTTTCCCAAGACACGCGGTCCTCCTCGTTCAATTCCATTGACGTGGAATGCTGGTGCATATTCTTCCAGATCTCCAGCACATTCCAAACGTCCCCCAGGACCGCCCACTTCCAGGCCATCTCCCCCGTGACATGTTGGCTTTTGTCAAAGTCACCCAACACGAACCTTGGGATTGCTCCGAGTTGTTGGGGGTGGGCGCCATCGAAGGCCGCCCGTTCCAAGAAAATATTCTCCGCGATTATGTCACCGTGCTCGATTCGAGGCGCATCAGGACCCAGCAATAGCATATCTATAGCCCGGAGCATCGTCACTAGGTATTCAGCCCCAAAAGCAGATGGGATCGGCGTCCGAGACTGCCCACAGGTGACCATGATCCTGGACAAATCCCCAAGCCCGTAATGCCTCCGGTAGGAGACGGCTTCCTCTCCCTCCTTGCCGTAAAGTTTGCCGTCCATCCAGGCCAGGGGCCAGTCTTCAGGGGGGTCCTGAGAGCCCCCTTGCAGGCGCTCCATAATTTCTGCCTCCTCTTTGATGTCAGCGTCCTGGACAGCCGACTTGCTTTGCCTGAGAACAAATTCCCCCCGACCGCCAATGTCACTGGTCAGGATGGCGAAAGTGGTCGAGCCACTTCCGACACTCCGCTGAACCACGGAGACCCTTTCCTGTTCCTTGTCACCAGCGAGAACGACGAACGATGTGCTTGGGGGAGCCATTTTGCGCGATTGAACCTGGTTGATCCGTGCCGGAGGGTTGAAGGACTGGCTTCGTCCAGCGACCTATCCCGGTCGCTGCGATCTCTAGACAGATGCTGGCTCGCTAGTTTGTGTAGGCTGTGCTGCTTGTGTGGCTAGAGATCGAGTGCGCTTTGCTTGGCCTGTCTTCAGAAAAAGAGGTTGTTATTCTGAGAGTACAAGTGCATAAATAGACAGAATCCCCTTGCGAGCCCGACGCCCACAAGAGGTGGCCGATCGCAGATCCCTATTGTCCTCCATGACGACCAAAATGCCGATACACACATAGCATTGAGGTGAGAAGGCTATTGTCAAGAAAGGGGAGAGAGTAAAGGACCGGTTCGTCCGGAACGGTGTTAGCTCCCCGCTGCCCGCACAGGATCACTCTTGGGGAGGCTGTGATAAAGGGACCGCTATAGGGATACGAGTGTCATTGTTAAGGAGGGAGGGACAGAAGAAGGCTTCTTCCCAATACAGACTAGGCTGGCTCTGTCCAGACATCATGCGATAGCGTCGAATCCTTTTCGGGAGGAGACGTTGTCGAAGGGGTGGGCTTGGAGGTGTGGCTTGAAGCCGTGGTTGGAGAAATCTAAGCTAGATGTCGAGACCGGGCTACGAAGAAATGGATTACGTGCTTTGGTATTGGGGGCATTTTTGTGTGAGGCTCATCATTTGACTGTCCGTCGTGATGGTTGTAGTATGATCAGGGGGCCCGTCCGGATGTGGCAATTGTACTTTGTTCTTGCTTTAGGGCGCCACAGCTGAGCGCCACAACTGGCGAGCGATGTGGCTGTTGCGTCACTGCAAGGTTGTCTGACACTGGAAAGTGGGGCTGGGCTTGCCCGCCCCAGCGTGCGGCGCCAGGCCAGCAGCGGTCACCCCCGTCATTGCGCCAAGGGGAGCTGGCCCGGGGGCGGCGGTGCAATGCCGAAAGCTCTCCGCTGGAAGCTCCTGAGCCGGCGATAATTGACTTGTCCAACTTACGTCGCCGACACCGAAGACTTGCCACTTTTCCAGACAACGCCAGCCAAACCCCCCATCTCGACGCATCCACGCTCTGCGGCCGGCCGATCAGGGCTGTCTTAGTTGACCGAAACGCGCCCACAGCCAGCACCGGATCCCTCGAGAATCAAACCTGCTTCGCACGCCAACCGCCCCCCCTTCCCCCATCCTTCCCCCGCGTCACGTCGCCGCCGCCCATCATGTCTCAAGTCCACGCTCTGTCCGACGACCAGGCAAGTCCCGCGCACGAATGGGGGAAATAGTGTTGCTTGTCAGCGGGGGGAGCAAGCTGTCGAAGCCCGCTCCGCGGCGCAAGACTGGCGACGAGACAAGGTTAAGCTGACAAGACGGGCAACCCCGCCACCTCCTCCCCCCCTCCCTCACCACAGGTCGGACAGGAGCTCCGCAAGATGACGGCCTTCATCAAGCAGGAGGCCATGGAGAAGGCGCGCGAGATCCAGATCAAGGCCGACGAGGAGTTCGCCATCGAGAAGTCCAAGCTCGTGCGCCAGGAGACGGACACCATGGACGGCGCCTACGAGAAGAAGTTCAAGCAGGCCACAATGTCGCAGCAGATCACGCGCTCCACCGTCGCCAACAAGACGCGCCTCAAGGTCCTGGCCGCCCGCCAGGAGATGCTCGACTCCATCTTCGAGCAGGCCCGCGAGCGCCTGGCCGGCGGCGCCAAGGACAAGGCCAAGTACACCGCCGTGCTCAAGAGCCTGCTGCTCGAGGGCTTCTACGCCCTCCACGAGCCGTCCCTGCAGGTCCGCGCCCGCAAGGCCGACCACGACGTGGTCAAGTCGGCCATCGACGAGGCCGTCAAGGAGTACAAGGCTGCCATGGGCACAGACCTAAAGGCATCCATCGACGAGTCGAACCCGGTCCCCGAGGGAAGGTTGGTGGCAGCCCTCCCCTATCTCTCTCTCTCTC